ATGCATGGCAAAATTAAGAAGGTAAAGTCATTTCAAAAAAGCATACCCATCTCTGCATTTTCTGCAATTTACCTTCTCACATTTCTCTTCAAAAAACAGGTTCTCATCCCTGTTTTGTGTATGTACAATGGATTTATAAATAAAAATTTTGACAATTAGATGTTGTCAAATGAATAATGTTTGAAAAAATTTTTCAAAATATGATTGCATGAGTTTACCTCCTTGATTCTACCATGAGTGTATGGCTACACCACTCGATGGTCCGATAACACCATAATCCTTATAGAAATATACTTGGCAACGCAGGCTTTTTTCCTTGTCAAAGAACGAATTGAGTAATACAAACAAAGGATAAAAGAATACTTTCAATCAACTATTAGATCGTTCTAATGTTTTCTTTGAAATTTGCCAAAAATAATATTGTTTCTATTTCAGGTCAATGATGCTGCTATTGCAACAGTCGTCTCTCAACTCTTGTTGACTTTAGACTACGTGCGCGCCGTTTCGCTTTTTTTATGTGTTTTGTTTTGTTTTGCTTTGAACACTAATACACACACAAATACACACATTCCTTCCATCTAACCAATAACACAAACATTATTTTATTTGGTGATTTTGCTGAAATTTAATATTCCTAATTTCAACAGAGTATACAATTTTCTGCGAAAATGGGTGATGAGGAGCCGCCTCCCCGTTTAGACCCGAGGAAAAGATCTGAGCTTTTTAGCAACCCTGGAAGCAAGAAGTTTAAAAATAATCAGCCTTCTATGCAAAATAAAATGCCGCAGTGCTCTGCAAAAACAACACCAGCTAAAGAAAACACCACTCTCACACCATATGAAAATCAATTTTTTAATGATACAAAGTCCATCTCCACCAACACAACTAACAACTGTCACTCCAACAATAACAATCCCTCCAATCCATCCAATATACCCAAAAATACAAACAAAACAGATATTTACAGCTATGATAACTATGAAAACCAAACAATTCTTTACAGCCCAGCCCATCCAGGTCCATATTATGTACTTCTTACTTCTGATGAGCCCATTTGCCCTAGAAGAAAGAACTCAGAATTACATTTGTATGCCAAATTAGCCAGTGCCAACATAAATGCTCATTTTGTATCAAAGAATATTGCATATAAAACCTTCCGCCTGAGATTCAACAATTATAACTCGGCAAATAATTTTGTTTTGGATCCAAATGTAAAATCTATTGGTTTGAATGCTTTTATCCCAGATAGATTTGTACAAAAATTTTATGTTATTAAATCCGTACCAGTAGAATTCACTGGCAAAATATATATGATCAAATCAACAGCAGCGACAATGATTTCAAAGCTGTATCAGTATATCGTTTCAAATACAAAAATGAAAATGGTCAGTATGTGCCGTCGCAAACCATTAAAGTAGGTATTGTAGCGGACTACGTTGTAAAAGAACTTAAAATGTTCAACTCTATAGTGGAGACGGATTTATATATTCCCCTTGTACGCTTATGTAAAAATTGCGGTCGTTTAGGTCATATAGCCGTAAAATGTAGAGCCAAAAAAAGATGCCTTCTTTGCGGGATAAACATTGAATGTCCCATAAACTGCACAGAGCCAAAATGTGATACATGTTTGTCGACAATTAAATGCAAAACATACTGTACTCTACCCAGATGTATACTATGCAACATGGAAGATCACAATGCCATGGATGTCAAAAAATGCAAAAGATACAGTAATGAAAAAATATTCTGGAGGCTATGGCAATCACCAACCTTTCAAGGAAAGAATGTATCCCTAAAGTTTCAAACAATTACTTTGAAATCTTGGATGAACCAAATTATGAAAATCAATTTCCCCAAATTTCTAAAACAAGCAGAAGACCAGTTACTTCCTTCAATGATGAACTCAACAGAAGGAGAACTAAAGTCAATTACAATAAAGTAGCAGCATCAATACCTCGTAGAGCACATATTACAGCTGAACAGGAAACGATTGTACCCTCTAAACCATCCTTTGAATTCTCAAATTTTTTCAAAGTTTCTGAGTATGAAAAAATATTATCCACTTTCACTCAACAAATGGCTGCCGCATTAACCAATGCCAAGTGTACAGAAGGATTACACATCTTAGACAGTTTTTCAAATGCCTTAAAAGCACCAGCAATAGATGGACCTTCCAGTTCTAACCAAACCGAACATGATAATCTTACAGCACAACATACAAAGTTTGAATAAAAATAAAAATTATCTAGAACTTTACTTAAAAAAATTTTCTGTCGATATATGCATCTTAAGCGAAATTTTTAATGTAGATGAAAATGCATCATCATCTTACGTAAACAATTATGAATTATTCTGCAAAAAAAGAATCGACAATTATGGTGGCGTTGCCATCCTGCACAAAAAAACTATTAAAATGAAAAAATTACCGTTTGCATCGAATTTAGACATCTTAATATGTCAAACTACAAACCTGTCTCAAAATTTAACGATTGTCTCAGTATACTTTCCGCATTCTGTAAAAGTCAATGTTTTAAAAACTGAAGAATCAAAACTTTTAATCTTTCTAAATGGAAAACCAAATGTCATTATTGGCGGGGATTTTAATGCAAGATGTAAAGCTTTTTTGACACAGTTCGAGGATCCACTGTGCAAACCTTGATGGACAGTTCGGCATTTCGTTGTGTTAATGATGGCTCAGCAACCTTTAAAAAGAATCTATTTGACAATTCTTTCGGTTCTGTGTTAGATCTTACCTTCACAAATATGTCTTCAAACTTTAATTGGAATGTAAAAAATACAAGCATAGGAGGAAGCCACCACAGACCAATCCTTATTAACATAGATAATTTTACATCAAAGCAACAGTACTTCCTAGCAAAAAAACATCTCTTCAAAAACTTATCAAATCTAAAAATTGATTCCAATATGAATGATATTCAATCGGAGCTAAAATCAACAATTAAGAATTCAACTTTTCTCATTACTGCTGAAACAAAATTTCAAACATGGTGGAATAATGACATTACCATACTCTTACGTCAAAAAGAGGCCGCAGAACAGAAATTTGATAGATACAAAACCACTGAAAATGCCCTAAGTGCAATCAACGCTATATCTAAATTCAAAAAAGCCGTAAAATGTGTCAAAAATCGCGACAAACGTCGTAAACTGTCAGATTTAAGCCAATTATCTAATTCAAAATCGCTTTTCCGTTATGTAAAGAGCTGTAAATCGGTTTTCGAACCCCAATTTGCTTCTAAATGGAACACTGACAACAACGAAGCCTTCTTACGTCATTTGAGTGAACAGGTTCCCAACAACAGACAAACTATATCCATTTAAATTTATAACAATCAATCTGCAAATTTCTCCATGGAAGAACTAGACAATGTTCTACAGCAAAAAACTAAACCATCTGCAGCTGGTCTGGATGGAATCACTTATGAAATGGTTAATAAACTATTCCAAGATAGTAAGCAGCACCTTTTGAATTCTTTTAATAATCAATGGAAAAACTGTGAGTTTTTTGAAGAATGGAGGAGAATAAAAATTGTTCCCATACCGAAAAAAGGAAAAAATTTAGACATCTGCACAAATTTTCGGCCAATTGCTTTAATATCTGTACTGGCAAAGATTTTAAACCTCATGGTCAAACAAAGGCTCAATGATTTTCTAGATGAACATAATATTCTTCCACCTAGATCTTATGCATACCGCAAACATGTGTCAACTTCAACATGCATTAATGGCATACTACACACAATAAACACCTCCAAAGAAAAAAATGACAAGGTGATTGTTCTCTCGATGGATGTATCGAAAGCCTATGAGTGTGTCGATATAAATTACCTGAAGATGATTTTAATAGAAATAAACATTCCACTCCAAATAAGATTATGGATAATCAATTTTCTCTGATCCCTCAAGGCAGTTGTTTAAGCCCAACACTATTCAACCTATACACAATAGGCCTCCATGGTTTAGCTGATGAAAACACAAACATTTTCCAATATGCGGATGATTTTATTTTACTTGTGGCAAGCCATGACTTTGATAGTGCCAACAATATTTTACAAATCAAAACCAATAACATCGTATCCCTATTAAAAAAACTAAACCTTGACGTCAATGTTGAGAAAACTTCAGTAATATACGTGGCTAAAGGAGGTCGGAGAAATCCCAACATTTTACTAAATGGAGTCCAAGTAAATGTTGTTAAGTCCATCAAATTTTTAGGGAGACATATTAAAAACAGTCTATCACTCAAGGAGCACTACGAAGAGGTGATGATATCCTGCAAAAATACTGTTAATGCTTTAAAAATGGTCACGGGTCCAAAAAGTGGAATTCATCCCGCAAAAGCTATAAACCTGTCAAAATCACTTATCTTTTCAAAGACCGAATATGCAATCTCATCGATGGCTCACAGACCAATGTATATAAACAAGAAGCTAACAAGCTTTCAAAATCAGTTGTTAAGAAAAAATTTGGGACTGGTGCCTTCCACTCCAAACTGGTGCCTTCCACTCCAAATACGCTCTTGCTGGTATGCTACCAACAGATTTAAGAGCTCAACATTTGGCGGCTAAAGAATTGATAAGACTTAAAATATACAACTCTTCTCTGTATGAATACTTCACCTCAAATATCTCAAGAAAAACTAGTCTTGGATATGTCTATACAAAGTTTCGCACAATTTTTGAAAATCTCAAAATTGGTTACAATCAACATCCGACCAACAAGGTAGATTTCATGCTGGATATATTTAATACTACCAAAAACAATACACCAACAGAATATTTCAAAGCACACTACTACGAATTAATTAACGACTTCAGATCCGAAGGCGTTTCTATTTGGGCGACGGATGCTGCTGTTTTTAACAACAACACAGGCTGCGCTGTCTGCAATATATCTGCTAATCAAAATTTTGTTTTCAAAATTAATGAAAAACTTTCTTCTCTTACTGGTGAACTATGTGCAATTGAAAAGGCAGTTGATTTGATGATCGAAGACGGTGTCAGCACAGCTGCTTTATTTACAGACAGCAAAAATGCTTGTCTTCTGCTTAAAAACAACACATCTCACAATTTTACTGTGTACAATATTCTAAACAAAATAGTTAATTCGCATTTAAATAAAATCTCGTTTGTTTGGACACCTTCCCATGTCGGTATACCAATCAATGAAACAGCCGATTATTTTGCGAAGCATGCAGCAAATGTTGGTTCACCAATCAACTTCTGTCTGTCGGTCACAGATGCGTCGAAACGCATTGAGTCACTCCTGTGGAATGAGTTTATAGAAAATTACAAGGACATCTCACGGACTAAAGGAACTTACTTCTACCAATTCCTCCCGGCGCCTGCTAAACAGCCCTGGTTCTTTTCATCAAACATGAAACCTGAAAACATAAAGATTGTTAATCGATTGCTCACTGGTCATACTTACACCAAAAAATATTTCCACAGGATTGGAATTGCTGACTCAAATCTTTGTGAAACTTGCAACGAAATTGAAGATGAAAAACACATAATTTTTTTCTGCAAAAAGCATCAAAATCATAGGAATGATTTTGATTTGTTCAAGAAATTTAATAACTTACCGGAAATCCTGATGTCCAAAAACCAACAAAATATAGATAAATTAATCAAATTTATTCCACTTTGCAAAATTGAAGTTTGACTTTTATTTGTAAATAATCATCATATTTGCTTACAGTTCTTTATTTTTTTTTCTTTTAGTTTTGATTTTTTTGTTTTGTTTTGATTTCTTATGTATTCCATTCATATCACTACATTCTGTAAACACACATATACTGTAAACAAAACGAAAACGAAAATAAAAGAGTACTGATACTTTTCAAGCAACCAATAACCGGTCATGGTGAATGGGCACGAAAGTGTTCTAACCACCAACATACTTAACGACGTAGAAGTACAAAAAAAAAAAAAAAAAAAAAAATGCTGCTATTGGAATGCATTAGTTTATCGTCAACAGTTGAGGAAAAGTATTGTTGGTTGGAAAAACCACCGATTCAAAATAGCTGGCAATAGACCTTTTCATTTGGTTATCCACTGCAATTACCACTCGCTATTTGATGCAAAATTATTGTTATTGTGAGTACCGCAGTCCATTACAGACATCGCTGCTGTCTGCCCTTCGGGGTGCCTGCATTAGCTTCCGCTGACTTTGTGGCCGCTGCGTAGGAGAAATTGCCTCCACCAGAGGTCCTTCCACTCAAAAATTAGTTTTACTCCTACAGCACTTCGCAACAATTTGACAGTGGGAATTTTTTCCATAATTAAATATAAATGTATACCGCGGGAACAATTAAGTGAAATTCCTGGAAAACAATGAAATGTCCCGAAGCCGAGTAGATCGACTGGCACAATCAGCTGGCTTGGTGCCACATGTATAAAAAAAAAAAACAAAACTAACACTCCGTTGTCTATATATTCATTAGCATGGTAGAAGATTACAGGTAGACGCAACAACGCTTGGGAATTTTAAATTTATTTTGAAATATAAGTAGATTTTTTTATGTTATCTTATACGAAAAAATTGCCCGTTTTCGCGATTTCCTTTATATAAAAATAATTGGGAGAAAATTGCCAAATAAAAAAACCAACTTGTTGCATTTCTTATTGGTAAATTTAAAGTTACGAGATTCTAGCTTCAGGCCTGTAGCTTGTAATTACTGTACCAGGTTTGCTGTTTTGTTTATGATACAACTTTTATTTTAGGAGTTAATAAACAGTAATGAATTAAAGATTAAAAATTAAGTCTGCTGACTCTCTTAGGGCTGACCCCATGAGCTTAGCTGAGGAACGCAAGCAATACTCTGGAACATTTTTAAATTTTTCAACACAACTTTACATCAAAGCATAATCCATTAACACCCCCTTTTTCCTGCCTCAGAGGATAACGTAACCGCCACCCAACCTTAGTCAATAATAAAATAAATATCAAACAGAAAGAAAGGTAAATAAATATCAAACAAAGAAAAATCGAAATGTATTTTCTTTTTTGCCGGAAGAGTTTAACTAAATAACATTTTTTTTAATATTTTGAAGGCGGGGTGGGTCTATTAGAAACCACAATATTCTATGGCCTGGCATCACCATATAGTACTTGACAGTGCAATTGTGGTTTCTAATCTGAAACCGTATAATATCAAATCTATTAAAACGTGGATCAAATCATAGGGAAAAGTAGAGAAACAGAAACAACATTTCAAATAAAAAACACACATAAACATATATGAAAACAAAAAAATCCAATAATACTTCTTCTCGACCAAAAATGATGATTTTTTATTATATTTATCTTTCTTGCAAAGCAAACAGTTGCATTTAGTTAGAGTTGACTGTTATCCGGGAATACAAACTGTTATACCCTTGATCAGGCTAATTTATCCAACCCAAAAATGTTGGTGTCTTGGGCAAATATTGGTGCCGAGCGTTTGACGGGTGGTAAACTTCGTAGGATTATTGATTACGCCCATAGATGGCAGCGGGCTGATTATTTTGATATGTATTCGTAATTAAATTTCCTTTAGATTGGATTTTTCACAAAGTCATCAGTGACATAATATCCACTAGTTACGCTAAGCGTCAACGAACTAGGTTTCATATGCCTTTTAAAGTTCGAAGACTATGTAATCGTTACCTAAGTAATTAGAATAAACCAACCTTAACCATTTTTTCTCACTCTTTGCACTAGCATTTTACTAACTTTACTGATAAACAATACACAATCTAAATATTAATGCGCTTAACTGTGCTATTCAACTCATGAATATATTTTTATAAATTCACTAAAGGGTTAATGCAACTTACTTCTCTTTCCATACAAACCACTCTCTTCTATAGGTTCTGGAGAGGAAGATGACAGATTTCAACTATTCGACATATTGTGATAGGTTCATTGTAGTATTGGTTTAATAATAATTCACAATACTTGTTCCTTTTGAATAAAAGTTTTACTAAAAAAATTGTTCACTCTCGATATTAAGAGCATCCCAGCACATAAATCTTCCATCTGAGACCACATCCAAAACCTGTTTACAATTTCTACTTACATTTACACAGCGATGGTCTAGGCCGTCAGGCGAGTCCGTAATCTACCGACAATTTAAGCGAATGTTGGATGGGTCTGAAATCTACGGACATTGTAAGCGAAGGCTGGATGGGTTGGAAATCTATCGACGATGTAAGCGAAGGTTGTATTTATATTAGGTTGTGGAACTTAAATTTCAGCTGTGTTTTATAAAAATATTTTTATTAGAGAAAAGTGTTTTCAAAAACAAAATATTCTTATTAAAATAAAAAAATTATGCCTAAAAAAGTTGATAATAATAATAAATAAAATTCAAATATTTTTATTAACCCAGCAATTTAAAATTTTTTTACATACGCCCAAATCCATTAAATACATGGTAACATGGTACAATGAATTCAAGGTAGGGCAGAACTACCATATGATTTCAATTTTTTTATTTTCTTGGCTTAATATGTCATCTTTATTTGTTTATGTATGTGTTTTCTTTTCAATAATAAAAAAATTGTCCAGAAAATATTCAAATTCGGGTGTTTTCAAAATGTTTATTTCAACGTATGCATCTACAAAATCTAGAGTTTTTGTAGCGAAATAATCCTATAGAGATATGTAGTACATGATTTTGAAAAGAAGTTTTGACCTTTCATTCAGTTATCGCGTTTTTCAATTATTTATTCAAAACAAATGCAACAAGTTGTTTGATTTTTTATTGTTTTGATACTAATTCTGACATTACAAGCCAAACAGGTAGACCTCTATACTTGCAATTTTTTCAAAGTTGACCTACCTTCTCTTCATTGTACCATGCATGGTAAGTTTTTTCTGATATAATACCAACATGCAGATACGTACCCGGTGTAACAGTCCTTGTAAGCATATTATTCGTTTTCACAAAACTATTGATGCTGGAACGTCCAAGCCTTCCGACCTTAAAATATCTAAAAGTTCATAGCAACATGTTTTACCTGGTAGGTGTTTCTAATTACAGGACGACAATTTGCAAGTTAATCCCCCCGTATTTTCTGCAGCAATGGTCACACAAGTTGACTGTTGAAACAAATCGTCCTGATCGTTGTATTGAATCTGTTCATTAAATACAATATTATTGTTTTCCAAACAGACCGTTCTCAACTGTGCATTTCTTTTTAAATTATCGTCTTCCAATTTATTTAATTTCTCTTACTGAATCCTGACATTTTTTTAAACTTATTTAACACACAACACTTACTATACTCTTATTTTATTAATTTATTGTTATATTCACAAGTTGTCTTTCAAAAATACTTCACAGAATGAAATTTTGCTTTAACAAATAAAGAAGTATCAACAATGAATAACGGTACAACACCAGCTGCAACAACAAACAAAAAAACTTTACAAAATAATTCGGAGACATCCGATTCAGCTGAAGTGCGATGGACACATTTTATTATATTTTGTTTTGTTCTTAAATTCTAAATATGGATTTTGTTTCACAATGTAATAGCAATACGACTCATCTAAATCGGATGCAAGCTGCATGCTATTAAAGGCTGTTATTTCATTTTTTCTTGTTGACAAAATAGCATACATTTGGAGGGGTATTAAATTGCAATGGCCAGCGGACTGCTGGGATATATAATTTTTAGTAGGAGTGTAAGAGGGTATGCCTGGCAAAATTAAGAAGGTAAAGTCATTTCAAAAAAGCATACCCATCTCTGCATTTTCTGCAATTTACCTTCTCACATTTCTCTTCAAAAAACAGGTTCCCATCTCTGTTTTTGTGTATGTACAATGGATTTATAAATAAAAATTTTGACAATTAGATGTTGTCAAATGAATAATTTTTGAAAAAAATTTTAAAAATATGATTGCATGAGTTTACCTCCTTGATTCTACCATGAGTGTATGGCTACACCACTCGATGGTCCGATAACACCATAATCCTTATAGAAATATACTTGGCAACGCAGGCTTTTTTCCTTGTCAAAGAACGAATGGTGTAATACAAACAAAGGACAAAAGAATACTTTCAATCAACTATTAGATCGTTCTAATGTTTTCTTTGAAATTTTCCAAAAATAATATTGTTTCTATTTCAGGTCAATGATGCTGCTATTGGAATGCATTGGTTTATCGTCAACAGTTGAGGAAAAGTATTGTTGGTGGAAACACCACCGATTCAAAATAGCTGGCAATAGACCTTTTCATTTGGTTATCCACAGCAAGTACCACTCGCTATTAGATGCAAAATTATTGTTATTGTGAGTACCGCAGTCCATTACAGACATCGCTGCGGTCTGCCCTTCGGGGTGCCTGCATTAGCTACCACTAACTTTGTGGCCGCTCCGTAGGAGAAATTGCCTCCACCAAAGGTCCCTCCACTCAAAAAATAGTTTTACTCCTACAGCACTTCGCAACAATTTGACTGGGAATTTTTTCCATAATTAAATATAAATGTGGATCAACTCTAGTTTAGTAAAAACTCTTCGATTTTTTCGAAACTTTTTCCAGAGGTAGGTATTTTTACCCTGATCCCGGGGACGGACCCGGGTCCCCAGATTTTTGACCCGAAAGTCCGGCATCAAGACTCCGCCTTGACCCGTATCCACTTACCCGATATAGACAATATGGATATCGAAAGCTTATGGAAATACCTATCCAACAAGTGGTCACATGAAGGGGTATGTTGTCATGGTTCGGAAGTTATAGTTATATCGATTGTTTGGACCCGTATTTTTTATGAAAACCCCAAAAAGTCAAAAAAGGGCACATTATGGGGGTC